TAATGTTAATGTTGACAATTTGAATTTAAAGGCAAAAAAGGGGCAATGTATGCTGGACTTTTTTGGTTTTTTTGATAACGTTAGTTAGACTAGCTAAAATTTACCGAAATATATGGTTTTCATTGATTGTTATGCTCAAGACAAGTTCAACAATCACTTGTTAATTTGACACGTAGACGAAAAATTAATTAATGAGACGAAATTAAGGGGCCCGTGATATTATTTTCATTGGACACATGTTGATCTATTACTCTCTGGAGAAACTTTAGCACTACAGGATTTCTTAGTTAGAGAATTGAAATTAAAACCATGATGTGAGGTTCATGGACACGTGGTAATCTATCATCTCTTCAGGAGTAAATCCAACACGAGCTGGAAAAAATGGTTGAAAATGTTACTTAAGAATCATTTCACGTGTAGTAATGAATATACACTCTTGATTTAACATATTATATAATATATTTATTAATAAATTATTATTTTTTAATTTAAAATTAAAAATAAATAAATTTAATGATATAATTATATACACAATATATAAGAATCGATTAAATTAATTATATTTATATTATATTTTTAATTATTAAACTAAAAATGTGTTAAAAAAATATACTGTACCAAAAGTGTACCAATAATTTTCCTTTCGCTTAAACACTAGCGTTGCCCAAATCTAAGAATACAATACAAGAATTTTTAGTTAAGCTCAACACGAGCTGGAAAAAATAGTTGAAAATGTTACTTAGGAATCATTTCACTTAAACACAAGAGTTGCCCAAGTCTAAGAATACAATAATTATCTTAACATGCATATATACCTCTTCACGTGAAACCACCCTTTGAGTTCAAAACATGGTTAATTAGAGCATGTGCACGTCGAAATTTACTTTGAATTTTAGCGCCACAGTAGAACAAAACCCACTAACTAGATCAGAAGACTCCAGTAATACCAAATTAAGAACTATTTTCACCTTAAAACTTAAAGTTCCGTTTAATGTAGTTGTGGATGTTTTTATTTATTTATTTTAGTTTTAATAAATTTTTTTAATTACTAAGAATCAAAACTAAAGATTAAAAATCAATGGATGCGAATATATATACTCTCTAGTTAATACATTCTACAATACATTTATTAAAAGGTTATTAATTTTTTATTTAGAATTAAAGGAGGAAAAACTTAAAACTGTAGACTTTAATAGTTGAATCAGTGAATATACTAATTATTTTCTAAAATCAATCATTTATTTAAGACAAATTTTAGCACCAACAACAAAAAATATAAACCTATTTAGTAGTATTTAAACTATTTTTATTCTTATTTCTCAAGTAATCATAATAATATGCTGTAAAAACACATGAAAGTAAATAAGTTGTTTGTTTAGAGTTGCAAAATTTATAAAATCCAAAAGAAAAACCAATAATTCAAAACTACAACTATATTAAACAGAATTTAAATTATTAGGCAATAATTGACTCAAAAAATAAGATTAATTTTAAACAGGGGAGATATATAGGAACTATTCTTAATTATATGCTATAAATTAGGAATCAAACTTTCTCCAAAAGAAAAAATTAAGAATCAAGTTCAAGGAGAGAATGATTATGCATGGAAGGTGTGGAATCAAAAGAAAACAAGGATAAATGATGTTAGATTTGGGAGAAACATAACATAAGCGCATACGTACTCCATATTTCATGTTCATGAATTCCAATCAAATACGGAAATTAAAGTAGACCCTCCAATATCCATGTGTCCATATACACTTCCTACACGTGTTATTGACATTTATATAAACTCGAAATTCTAGTCTCCATTTCTATGCCTGAAATGTTTGAAATGATTCATTCATCATAACGTACAGAAACAGAGAGCGAGACAGAGACCAGATGAATAGCGACAAAAAGTTGAAGCCTCATTTTTCAGGACTCTGTAATGGCTGCTGCCCCATCATCTTTTCAACACATATATATAAATCCAAACAAATATTTTGCGAACCGTACTTTTAAGTTTAATGATTTGACACTCGATCTTAAGTGCTTAATTAAAGTAGTTGAAGTTTCGAATTTTATTACTGTCGTAAACTCTACCCAAAAATAACATGATAGTTGCGCGTCTCATTTGAGGGGATAGAATGTTCACCTGGTCTGGAGATCAAATCCTCAGTTACTAACAACTAATTTAAACTAACTTCTTAATCATTATTTTTATCAAAAATAAAAAAAAAATTATTTCTGCACACTGCTTCTGGATTTCACTCAATTAAGCAATCACATATGGAAGTATATATATATATATATGTCTGAGACTGAGGACTTTTCCTTTCTGATTTTTTGCTATCTTGGGAATGGATCAATTAATTATTAATTGTAATTTGATATCTTTTTTGTTTGAATGCATATCACATGGCCACCATAACTTTTTCATATGCCGGTTTGATTATTGATTCTGCCATTAGGATCAATACTAAGATGACAGACATAATGTTAATTTGGTAGTATTTAACTTTTCTAATTTAATGTTCATTTATATGAATTTTAGATCATCCGAATGGGGGAATTTAAAATTTACAAGTTTGCTAACTTCTCATTTCTATAGCAGTTAATGGTTTTGTGGTTGAATTTTAATAACAATAATTATAAATCCTCAAATTAGATAAAATTATTAATTAGTATTTTTAAATTGTTATACTAAACACTACTTTATAGTATTATAGTGTGGGAGATTATTAGATAATTTTTTATTTTATTTAACAATTAGAGTGTTCTAAGATTAATTTGCACACAGAGATTGTTGGATATTATCCAACTATATATATCCTTCTTGTAGGGGAATGAAATTGCTGGCCTTTACAAAATTTATATGGTACTCTTAACCGTCTAACAGTTTCACACCTAACTTTTTGGTGCAAATGCTTTGACGTCCAAGGCATTAATTTAACTCTCTTTAACCATATGATAAAACTAATTACTAACTGAAAAGCACACAAAATGTATGTATATGCATAAATTGTGTGACAATAAAATAATGTACTTTTTATGTTGAGTACACGTTAATATAAAATAAGTAGAGATAATCCCGTAGAAAAAAAAAATCGCATTTACAAGAGTTAATCTTATAACTTTAAAATTATGAAGCCGGGGTTTTTAAATTTTTAATCACTTGAGTGGGACTTTATTGGCACAAAACAAATGTAATTAACACTATTCTTATGAAATAATCCATCAGCATGATCCCATGATTTGGTCGATCATCAGTAATTAGAAGAGAGACTACAATTCATGCAAAATCCATTTCCTCATCTTTGAGGACAAAATTGTGAGACTATTAATGAATTAAAGAAAATGATGGCCAAAAAATGAGTTCAAGAAAACGATAATTTATGAGGGACAAAATGTGAATGCTAAAATCAATAGATCTCAAGATTTCAATAGTTTTAATTTTTTTTTTTTGTTTTATCTAAAATTATACAAGAAGCCTCTTTCTTCCCAGAACTCTCTTTCATCCCTTAACTTTACTCCAGTTACATATTATACAACTTAAAATCAAGATTTTTTACTTTCACAATAAAAAAATGACCACTAAATTATTTACATCATACACTATTTTTTATTTGTCATAGGAACGACAATTTTAAAAAAATAATAATCAAAGGAATTTATTCAATAAGAATTCATACAAAGAAAGAAACTTTTATTTGTTATTCATATGTTATTTAAAGCATTATTTAAAATTACATATAAAAGAAAGTCAAACAATAAATAAAGGATGATGGAGAAAGTATTAAGATCTTATAATTATTTTATTTCAACTAAATCCCACATGACTTTTAGATTGGATCGTATTTAAATTTTAAGGCCACATCTTTCATAGGATCACTCACATATGTGAGTGTGACAGCCAACTGTCCAAAACCAAAGAGCTTTGAGCACTTTCCAAAAGCCACCCAATAATTAACTAGGTAGAATTCGGTGTCCTTAGGGAATATTAGAATTAAATAGGTTTAAATGATTTAATAATAATTTTTTAATAAAAATAATAAATTTAACTTATAAATACGTGAGGGAGATAAATAATAGGATAAAAGATAATTTTTTTATTTTATAATTTAAAATTAAAAAATAAAATATTACTAAAATTTAGTTGAGTTGGCATTAAGAGAAATCAAAATTCAAATATCTACAATATCTCAGCACTAACTATTTTTTATAATTCAAAAAGATATATATAATTTCTTAAGCTTAATTAAGTATATAACTCTAGTATTGTGTTCGAAACCCAAACATGATCACACACAACACAAGTCATAAAGTGGGGTGGGCATAAAGTACTTTACAGTAGTTAGGTTGGTTAGGTTGTAGCGTAGTGACGCAAATATATATATATATATATGTCTCGTTATATATTTAAAAAGTAAAAGCATATGTATTTGTGTTTTTAGGTTTAATAGCGTTAAATCATGTGTAAATGTATTTGTTTATTTTAGAACAATGGTTTGAATTACATTTTTTGTAAATTTGTTTAAAAAAATAAAAATAAAAGCATATAATAATCTATTCTTTTTCAATGACACGATGTTAAATTAAGATTATTTATTTTTTATAAATTGAATGTTCAAGTTTCGCTAAATCCCATTTCTCTTTCCTCCGATTAAGATATAAATAATTTTAATATGTAAAAAAAAAAGAGTACGGACGACTCTAAAAATGCCAAGACCTTTTCCTTCTGTCCCTGTTAAAGAGTCGTTTTTGCTTTGCTTCAGTCACTTGCGCCCATAACCCCTTTCTTTCTTCCTTCCTTTTTATCCTCCCAATTTTTTTTTGGTCAAATTATCTAGCACTCTTTATGTATTTCTGCAATTCTTCTGGACACGTGCTCGTCTCTCGAAACAAAAATGAGCTGGAGGGAGATTTCCGTGTGTGGGATTCAAGCTGTCTTCGAAAGCCCCATCCCCTGCTCCCCCTTCAAGTTAGCCCTATAAATAACCCTTTTTCTTTCTTCTTTCATCACAATTTCTTCTCCATCACTTAAGCACTACTACTCCCTACTCTCACACACATGGATTTCACTTCTGTGTTTCTGCCTCTTTCTTTCTTTGTTTTCATTTTCTTTCTCTTCCAGTCTCTTCTCAACTTCTTCTTTCCTAATCGAGGAAATCTCCCTCTCCCTCCTGGCTCGTTAGGCTGGCCATATGTCGGTGAAACCTTCCAGCTCTACTCTAAAAACCCAAATGTATTCTTTGCCGCAAAGCAGAAGAGGTACTAATTTAATCTATATATAGTGTGAGCCAAATGACCCATTTGTATTGTTTTGTGTTTTGGGTTATTAACAATGGTTCTGTTGTTGCTCTGTTGTTGATGTCTAGGTATGGGTCGATATTCAAGACCCACATCTTGGGATGTCCTTGTGTGATGATTTCGAGCCCAGAGGCGGCTAAGTTTGTGTTGGTAACTAGGGCTCATCTGTTTAAGCCAACGTTTCCGGCCAGTAAAGAGAGGATGTTGGGGAAACAGGCCATCTTCTTTCACCAAGGAGACTACCATGCTAAATTGAGGAAGCTTGTTCTGCGTGCCTTCATGCCTGAGGCCATCAAGAACATAGTCTCTGATGTTGAATCCATCGCCAATGATACCCTCCAGTCGTTGGAAGGAAGATTGATCACTACTTTCCAAGAAATGAAAACGGTAAGCTGGGTTGGCAAAAATAGAAACAGAGGAAACAGGGGTCCTCTGTTTTGATGGGTTATTTTGTTTTATGTCGGTTTCTGCCACTGTTTGTTGATTTTATTCTTGAAATTTGCAGTACACATTCAATGTTGCTCTACTTTCTATATTTGGAAAGGAAGAAGTGCTGTACAGAGAAGATCTGAAGAGGTGCTACTACATTCTGGAGCAAGGGTACAATTCAATGCCCATTAACCTTCCAGGGACACTCTTCAACAAATCAATGAAAGCCAGGAAGGAACTAGCCCGGATTGTAGCCAAAATCATCTCCACCAGGAGGCAAATGAAGCTCGATCGCAACGACCTCCTTGAATCCTTCATGGGTGACAAAGAGGGCCTCACTGATGAACAGATAGCAGACAACATCATTGGTGTCATATTCGCTGCCCGGGACACCACCGCCAGTGTATTGACTTGGATCCTAAAATACCTTAGTGAAAACCCGACCGTTCTTCAAGTTGTCACGGTAGGAAAATTTCTCCGAGAAAACAATATTCTTGAATCTTGGATTGGAATCATGAACTTTATCTGACAACAATTGGTTTTGGCTTTACAGGAAGAGCAAGAGGCCATAATGAGAAGTAAAGATAAGTGTGGTGAGGAGAAGGCTCTGACTTGGGCAGATACCAGGAAGATGCCGATAACTTCAAGGGTAATTCATGAGACAATGAGGGTTGCTTCAATTCTATCGTTTACTTTCAGGGAAGCAGTGGAGGATGTTGAATATGAAGGTTAGTTGTAACAAAATCTGACAAAATTACCAATATCCATTTGTCATTTCATGTGATTTTTCATCAAAGTTTTGATCTTTGTTGCACCTGGGTCTCGTGGCCTAGATAGCTATACGCTTTATGGTAAAGTGCACACCAGTCCGGCTGGAGTTTGAATCCCCCTCTTAAAAAATTGTAACCTGTTGAAAAAAATAAAAGTTTTGATCTTTGTTACTGATGGTTTATTTTTGCTTCCTTGTGAATATCTTTCAGGGTATCTTATACCAAAAGGGTGGAAAGTTTTACCACTTTTCAGAAATATTCATCACAGCCAAGAAATCTTCCCGGATCCTGAAAAGTTTGATCCATCAAGATTTGAGGTAAATTTTCAAGGACTAATCAATCTCTTTTATGTTCTGCTGATATTGGATAGAAACAACCCAGAATCCCCAATCTCAATCATCTAGTATGTGTTTTCTAATCAATGTTCAATGATTTGTAACAGGTGGCACCAAAGCCCAATACATTTATGCCATTTGGCAATGGCATCCATTCATGTCCTGGGAATGAGTTAGCCAAGCTGGAGATGTTGGTGCTTCTCCATCATCTGACCACAAAGTACAGGTAGGTAAAAAAAAAAAAAAAAACTTTTGGGTGCTACTAATTTTGATTTTACCCTTTTTCAGTTGGGAGGGACTAAAAAGCTCAGTTTCCAAAAATAGAAAGGTCTGACATGAACAAAACATTTGCAGGTGGTCTACGGTGGGTGCAAACAGTGGGATTCAGTATGGCCCCTTTGCTCTTCCCCAGAATGGCTTGCCCATCAGATTAAGCAAGAAGTCTCAGACCCAAAAATGAAAATAAGGCCCCATCCTCAGAGAAACAGAAAACTTTCTAATAATAAGCATTAAAGATTTGAGAGGAAGAAGGTCAAAAAATAAATAAATAAATGAAGACCATTGTTGTTCACCAAGAAGAGAAAATGCCTTTTTGGGCCATGAAACACCCAGAGGAAGGTAGAAGGAAGTAAGAAGATTAATTAGATTATTACATAAAAGGGAACCTCAATCTCAATTGTATAAAGAATCTTCCTAAAACAAAAAGGAAAAAAGAGGACAAACTGCCAGCAAAATTGTGCTCATTCTTTTCCTTCCAAATCATGAAGGAAAGGAAAACAAGAGAGAGGAAAAAACTATTCAAGCAGTGGGATATGTATGTAGCATATTAAGTGTGTTTACCCCATATCTGGGTAATTTTTGTTATTTCTTTTAGTAATGAAGTCCGCAAGGCAACAACGAAAAAAAAGTATCAATGATTTTGTATGATTTCAACTTTCAAGCCCTACTATTTTTGTTCTCTTTTCGTTTTATGAGGAATTCATCGAGAGAGGTCTTGGTATAATGATAAAATGACACGTTAAAGTAAGAATTGATTAATTGGAAGTTGTATGTCTGCATCTCTTAAGTAAAAAGAGAAAAAAAATTATAAGGTTTTTATTTTGTAATATGTATTATATTAAATTATAAAATAAAAACTATACTAATGACTCGTAGTTCAAGTAAAAAAAATTAATTTTTTATAAATAATATTTTAAATTCAAATTTTATAAATAAAAAGACAGATTTTGAAAGAGATTTTTATAATTTGATTATAAATTGATCACAATTAGTTGATACTAATATAATTTTAAATATAAAAAAATTAGTATCAAAAAAATAAAATAAAAACATTAAATGAGAAATAATTTTTAATATTAAAGAATCTATCATTATTTAATAATTTATATTACACACAATAAATTAATTTAAATGGTACAATATTTTTATAAATATTAGTTTTTTAATTTTTTTCCTAAAAAAGAAAAAGAAAAACAGAGAGTTGAACATTATGGAGGTTTCAAAAAGCTGTAACAGTCCCCTCCAACTCACGGCATCTTTTGTTGTACGTGTTTCACATTGCCTCCAATGTTCAATAACTATCATGTTTGGTTCCAATTGGACAGCTGTTGTTGTCTGCTTTGTGCGTGTATATATATATATATATATATACATTTTTTATGGAGACTTAAGAGTTGGCAGCTTTAACTTATTTTATTTTTTTTTATCGGTAAAAAATTGTAAAAAAAATAATTATAATATTACTGCATTGAGTTGGCAGCTTTATACTCCATATCTTAACTTCAATTTTTATTTATTTACAATAACCACAAATCATAAACTTACTTTGGAGTTGAAACTTAGATGAAAACATCATACAATTCATATTACTTACTCATCATAGAAATTTAAATGTTTAATTTTAACTAAAATTTTAAAATGATTGTTGATTACAAACTCAATTAAATTTTAATTTATAAAACTAATAAATCGTACATCAATTTTTTTTTTTTTTTGAAAATAGGTAATGGATACATTAAGTTAATAATAGAAACTGTATCCTGCGAGACTTGACTCGAGTTCTCTAGATAATTTTGACATGATGGACATGATAGAAGATTTAAATAGTAACCTAAACCAGTAGAAATAAGTATTTTGAATTTGAATAATGATAAAATAGATAAATTTTTAAAAAAAAATTAAAATAAATAATATAATATAAGTAATATTATTTAAAATATTAAAAAATAAATTTCATAGCATTTAATAAGTAATATTTTATTTTATTAAAATTTATAATATTATATATATTAATTTATTTAAAAATATAATTTATTTCGCATTATTAATTTAAAATTTTTTTTATCTTGATTGCACAATTAGAGATAATCATTTTTTATTTCTTATTTTATCACAACAGCATATTATATAATTTGAACTCAAAATTTTTTATTTTTAACAAAAAAAAAATTACTAAACTATTTAAATAGTTAACTATTAATTCTAAATTTTTATTTTATATATCACTGCTCTTCCATTTCTGCTCCTACTGCTTCACGTTGTCTTCAACATGCATTGATATGTCCCGAATTACTTACGTTTTTCTTCTCTAGTGTTCCTAAGATTACGAGTAGAGTAGTCTTTTATGATTAGTTCAAAAGTTGAATGCGGAAAGAATTGGAGACTTGTAGATAGGACACATGATACACCTCGAATTCGAATAAAATTAGCAAAATTATTTGAAATGGTCAGTTTCCACAAAAGAAAGCTAGATGCTAATCCTAGCCTAGCCTTTCAATCACAGACAAGATTGTATGTCATTGATTGTAAAGAATGGCAATGATGACGGCGCGGATTCAGTTCTCCTTTGACTTGGAAAATCTCAGTCAGAAATTCAGACTGGCAAAATGCAAATCTCCATTTGGTGCCACAGAAGCACGTAATTTTTTATTTGTTTCAAGGAGGGGTCTGGATTGTTTACAAATTTAAATTCACTTTTAGGAATTATTTTAGAATTAATAAATAAATATTTGAGAATGAAAGAATTAGATAATATTGTAGTGTAGTATGGATAGTATTTTAATTTTTTTTTTAAATTATATCTTAATATATAATGTAACTTACAATGAAAGATTCTTAAAAAACAGAATCCTTACTTGATTAATTCAACAGATTAGCCCTAAGAAACTTGGTTTGCATATCTTCCTTGGAATTGATTATTTCTTTATTTTATTATTACAAAAATATTTTATATAGTATAATTATACTAAATTATACAATATTAATGCTTAGTGGATCCAAAGTTGCCTCCATGAAGTCCTCATTATTAAATTATTAATAGAAGAAAAATGTGTTTATTATATGCACCTCACAAAAGTGTATGAAAATACTCAAATTTCCTTAACAGATTTTCTCTTCTTTTTTTTTTTTTTTAATAATTCATTAAGATGTTTTGTTATTTTTATAACTCAAATTGCTTTTTTCGTGCCATTCAAACTAAAAGAAAAAACCAATCTCTTAATAGAATCATCCAATGGAGTAAATAAGTAAATTCACGAAGGGCTCTCATGGTTTATTTATTTAGGTTTTTTGAAGCTGAATTTTATTGCTCGGTGATCTTGATTGAAGTTTAGGGTTTTACTTATAGGTTAGCTAGAAGATAGACTCAATCAAATTTAGAGATTTAACTTTTCATGATTTTACAATAAGATAATATCTTCAAATATTTTTATTAAGTCTACCTCTTTAGTCTTATCAATTCTTATTCAGTTAAAGACAAATCACCTAAGTTGATATTATCATATTAAACAATATAAAAAACTAACTCATCACAATAATTGAAAATTGAATGCAAACTCACTTACCAGGGGTTTATCTTCTTCTAATTTTTTTATCTTAATCTCTTTGACTAAGAACAATGTACAGAAAAATAGGATAAATTCAAATGTTAATTTCAATCAATTAGCGACAGTAACACGTGGACTAATCAGGCACTTGAACAAATCTATCAATCAATATCAGATGTTGGTACCTTACATAAATGTCAGTGATGGAAAAATGAAGTTGAAAAACGAATACGGGGATGATTCATGCAAGATAAGTATTTCATTCCAAATGGCTAGATGTAATCTTCATGTGCCAAAATCATATTATCACCGCCAGATTTATCTTATGAGTTCCCTTTGTCCAATATTTGACACTTGTATAGTTTAGTTCCCTGCACTAGAGCTTCTATTACTTTATGAAAGTAATTCTTTAAGGGTAAGAAGACCCACTGTAAAACCTAGGGTAGTGTTATGTTAGGCTATATGCAATATAACATAAGGTCAAATTGTCCTTTAGCAGAAGTGCTGGAATTTGGTGAATTATTATCTAAACAGAGCAAAAGAATGAAAGGCAGAGTTATGTCACCACAAATTATTGCCAACCATACAGAACAAGTGGGGCTTTCATTAAAAAGAAAAAGGTTGGGGGTTTCATTGTTTTAGGGGAGAACTTTGTAAGTTTGCTTCAGTTGAACAACAGAAGTTTAGGCTTTTCACCATCCAAATATCACAGAAATACATGGATATTTTTCAAGATGATATCTTGTGAAATCATGTAAGATTCAAACATAGACATTTTTCGAGTCATAATGGTTTTTAGTAGCAAGTTCAGGAAATTTAGGCATTGTTTAAACCTAATTTTGTAACAAATAGAATGCTGTTATATGTCATCTATCACATGTCATCTATGTTGATAGGTATTTTGTTTGTTGAAAAATTATTTTGTTGATACAAATTTCTCTTAGATAAAGTTTAGTGGTTGTTTCCAGGTCATCAACAAAGCCATTCATTTTTTGCAAATTTCTAAGAGTATAATCGGCAACACCAACAAGTTAATTGATTGATTGTATATTTTATACTGCAATTGGTTTTCAAAATATTGTTGCAAATCTCTTGCATGTTGTTAAGGAGTGTTTACTGTTATAAATACAAGAGGATGAAATCAAGTAAAATAAACCTGCCTCTCACATAATAAGCTCAACACTTTTTCTTTTAATGCTCTTCATCTTAGTTTTAAGTTCTTTAGTGTAATTTTAGCTCTACGCTTCAACCTACATTAGTTTTTAACCTTGGTTTCTTAAAAATTAGTTGAAGTTCTCTAAAGGAGCAATTTAGCCCCCTTTTTGTTGATTTTGTAATGAGAAGATTCACTACCTTAGTGATATTTCTTTGTAATCAAATCACTTCCTCTCTTTTACTGTTTCCCTAGGTTCTTTTAAATTAATCAAGTGATGTTGATATTCAATTTCATATTCTGTTTGTTTCTGTTGACTTATATTTCATGCTACCAGTAGAAATTTTCATGTTTCCAACTTCATTTACTTTAACTTAATTTGTTTTCTATATTTAGATTTTCTTTTGAAAGTTCTATTTCAATGCAATCTACATATTTAAAATTCATTTAAATTTTCATTAGTTTGGCAATTGTTTACTTTTCTTGCATTCTTAGCTTTTTTTTCAATTACATTAGCTTGAAAAAGTCCTTGGAGACACATCCAAGGCATTTTATCGTTTAACCTATTTAATATAAGTTCATCTCTCATTTCTACCAATTGTCTAATTATTAAGGCGTAGTATATGATATTCTTCTATTAACTTATAACTGAATTTCACATTTGGAAAGAAAAAAGGGTTGTTAGAAAAAATTTTCTTGTTTTAAGCAAAGCAAATAGTACACTATTTCACTTGTCACATATTAAGTAGATTTGATAGTACAACAGACGTAAAGCAAAACCAACAACTTCAAATCCATAATCCAATTTTTTCTTCGCGACACGTATAAAACTAGTTCAGCAGCAGATGCTTAGTACCACCACCAGTCAGCCCATGTCTGGCTCAAAGCAAATAGGTGTGATAAGAAAAGACTATTGTCAAGTGCCAGGAGCACAATCACAAACAAGATGCCTACATTCAACTGAGAACATGCATATGTACCTGTTTTTAAGCCGCCAAATCTCAAATCTGCTGATACATGAGCTACTCCACTAGCAATTATGAGCTTCAATGTCTTTGTCCATTTCCCTTCTAACAACTAGTTACTGTTCATGTGGTATTTCAGAAAACTGCCATATTCGATTGAACAGCAGTATTCTTGAAGTTTTCAAATAAGACAAGATCCTGGGAGGCTGGAACCTTTTGTTATGCTTGAATTAGTATAGCATTACCTGTTGATTATATGAAGCATTTAAGATATTGTATTTATTACTACACTGGCTGCTGAGAATGGACCATAAAACTTCCTCTCTCATGTTTGATAACTTGAAATGCTGCCTCTTAACTGCAAAATTTCAAAGCTATAAGTTTAGTTTTTTCAATGATATAGTCTGTTTAAAAAAAGAAGAAAGATTAATAGAAAAGACCTTCTCAACAACATCTGTTGACCCCAACACTTCTGCTGTTCCTTTCTTAAGTTGATTAATACGAGCTTGGACAAGAAGCATTTTTTCTTCAGCCTAGTAAACAAACTGGGAAAAATAAGATTGCGGAAGGAAAGGAAAGATTGCCTGAAGTTCCTTTTCTTGCCTCTGATAATGATGATAGTTGACAAAATCAACAAAAAATTGATTTCATCACTTCAAGCACAAACGCATAATTGTATGCACATGATTATTAATTTTCAATCACCACTTCTTGAATAACACATTAATATGCTCAAAATCTTAAGGACCTACCTTTTCTAGCATAGCTCTTAGGAACTGGATCTCAGTCTCCTTCACTGTTAAAAAATTCCATGCCACATCCTATGTTAGACCTATATCCCAGCCACCACAACTTCAAATGAGAAGTGCAAAGAATCACATCATGTAGAAATTAAATACATGGAATGAAATTAAAATAGATCATTTGTATGGGTGGCCATTGTGACCGAGATAACTCTAAAAATGATCACCATCGATGAGGCTCTCTTAGAAAAAGAATAAAGCAGAAACACCCTAGAAACAAATCTTGAACCAATTGAGGCTTCCAATCTGCAGAAGACCAAATGTCCTTTTCACCTCCAACACCATGGTACCTACTTATCTAAAAAAACAAAGAAAAAACACAAATAGAAATGGAACCCACTTATCTGAAAACAGAGGATCAAGACTTTGTTCTTCAACAAGTTGCTCCTCCATATCAAGAATCTTTCCAACCTGATAATGAAGAATGAAATGATTGGAGATAGTGCGAGCAAGCAAAACATAATTAGATAACCATGTTGAATTAGAACTCAATTTGCATCACGGGTCTACCTGTGTTTCAAGGAACAAAGACTCAAACTCATCCTGTAACATTGAAGGGACAACAACAGAAGTCAGACTTTGTGATATGATATAGGAATACAAGATTGGAATAAAAAGTTAAATTAAGATAAGTTTTTTGATTGTCAAGTTGCTAAATGGGTTATTAGGTACCACTTTTCAGTCATACAAAATAGCAAATTTTTTAGGGAAAAAAAAAAAAACTCACTCAGCTGAAAATGGCTTAGGATTTAGGAAAATATATTTATCAGTTGTACTGCTGAGAATAATAAAACAAAACCGAGACAATGGCAACGTGATAGTAGATAGTGAAACTTATAAAGGGCATGGCAGCAAGCAAATTGCAAAGAAAAACTAAGCTATACCTCTATATTAGCATGCAAAGAAGTAACCACCTGAAAATTCCGATAATAAAAGGTAAAGTATGAGTTCATAGCAGTCAAGAATAGTACACTCATCCATCAACATCCTTTACTAATGGAAAGACATACACACATGCATCCCCCTCCCCCCAACACGCATAGAGACATGTGCATACCATAATAATACCTTATATGCACAGCACAAGTGCAAGGAAAGATACCTGAATAAAGAGCTGGTGGAGAAGTTGTTGCTCAACATTTGTGAAGTTTGGAAACGCTTTCTTAAATTCGTTTAAAATTGAAAATAAAGCATCCAAGTTAAGCATGAATAATCCTACATTTGCACTTTTATTTGTTGAATTTTACAACTAAACCATCAAAATTTAACCTCCGGATTGGAAGTTTTTTTGTGATTCAAATACCAAATGTTTAAATTTAATCAAAATTGACGGGGAGAGAGGAAACGGGGATTTGGTGGGGGGGGGGGTGCTGAAGAATTCAGCAGCAGCGTCGCACTTTTTCGAATTTTTGGGGTTCGCGACTGGGTGGCCAAGAAGCTTATATATATGGAGGGCAAAAAGCCTTCTTAAGCCCTCAAGCTTTTGTCAAAATAATATTTAAACCCCTAAACTAAAAATAAAGCAGATAAGCCCTCCAACTCCACTAATGATGCAAATTAGCCCTTCTCATTCATGGATATTCATGCTTTCAAGGTGATATTAAACATGAAATACCATTTGGCCCTTTTGTTAAAAAGACTTATTTGCATCATAAGTGGAGTTAGAGGGCTTTGTTTTTAGTTTAGGGGCTTAAACATTTTTTGGGGTAAGTTTGGGGGTTTAAAAAGGGTTTTTGCCTATATAGGACAGCCGCTGCTATTTTCAATTTTGTTTCGTAAATTACGTTTTTCTCCTCCAAGTGGACTGGACCTTACTTACTACTACCTTATGGGCCTGAAAGTACAGGAAATCGAAATTTACAGTTTTCCTAACCCTTATGTAGTGGGGTGGGCTTCAATGTTATTCTGCGTGGCCCTATCAATAATTTATGGGCTTGGCAGCTCAGAGCCGGTTCGGTTTGAAATAGACTCTGGTTCGGATTATTCATTACAGTGGATTGACTCGATTTTCTTAGCCAATATTCCGATTGTACCATATCTGAACGAATGAACTTGAGTATTCATTACATGATAGGCAAAGTGATAACACTCTATTCTATAAGTGGGAATATCGTTGAAACGTATTATGTTTGACCTCCAACTCTCCCTTTCTCACCCTTTATTAAAAATATGTTATAGTTGTAATGGGTGGTTATCCTAGTTCAAAAATAATAATAATAATAAACATGACTCTACAAGAAAATTTATAATGGAACGGAATTAAAACAGCCCCTCCCTCTTGAAGAGGATTATTGATACAGCATACAGTGACCGACAACAAAGGACTTGATTGTAAAGATCAAAAGTTAGCCAGCATGGTAGGCAAAACTTACTATCATCTTCAAGTATGCTAAGAACCCTCGATGGCCAAAACAAGCAGCAAAAGCTCAGCTGCAAGTAGCTCAGGGAGTTGCCAAGGCAGACTCACTTTTTGTTCTTCCTATAATTCTGTTCAACAACTACAAATCTGTACCCAGATCTTAAAACTCACGCACAAACTCAGCCGAATAACGTTATCTCTGCCGTTCTAACCCGTATAGGAAGAATAGTTGGCTATCAAGTACCTAACAGCATGGAAAACCGTGCTGCAACCACTAAGCAAGCAATCATATAAACTCTTTTAACTTCATCCGAGTAAATCTTTGAACAAGTTGGGATTCTGACTTGATGGGTTTACACCCATCTGCCTAACCATTGCGTCCTTTTCCAAGGAATCTTTAGGGTTTGGACCTTTACTAAATTGCACTGGTTGTGTCACTGTAGTACCTCCTGGCACACTTCTGGTACTTGGGTTTGACAAGCCAGATAAAAGATCATCCCTATTAGTCGGCGTGGAATATGCAATACCACTAGTCTCCATTCCTGCAGCGGTCTCTGCATAGAGTGACATAATATCAGGTCCTTTTGCAGCAGCAGTTGCCCCATAGTTCACAGCTGAATTATCTTGGGCTGAATCAAGAAGCCCTTCCAGTTGCTTAAATGGATCCACCACAGGAGGAGCACTGCTTGTAGCAGTTGATTCCCCCAAGTCAAGCAAGTCTGGAGGAGGTTGAACTGGAGGTGGTTGAACCAGAGCTGCCTTCACTGATGAAATGTCATCACTAGATTTTGATGCATAAGCTGTCTTTGAAATTCTATGGCCACCAGAGGATGGCCTCTTTTCTGTTTTTGATGTTCCTCCAAAAAGTGAAGCAGCAAGCTTCTGCTTTTCTGAACAAACTTCAACGGGTGTTTTTCTTGAATCATAAGTATCACGAGTTTTCAAATTGTCAACTTGTGTGACCCCGTTAGTTGTATTCTGTGTTGTAGTATTTGAGGTGGTGGTGGTAATAGGAGAGGGGTAAGTTGGTCTACCCCATTTTTTCTGAACCCCATCAAGTCGTAACTTCAGCTCCGATGATCCTGCATCTGATACAGATGTTACTGATGCAACCTGCTGGCTCTCCCTAGAATACAATGGCTCAGGCACAGGAACAAGTTCACTTGATGATGCAAGTGCAGTTGGAGGAATCCTTGACTGCACCACAGGCTTCGGAAGCTCATATGCTTCAAACCTAAGACCATGGGTAGATGCTTCATGATGGTATTGGTTCTGTGAACTGCTGACGTTTAACATTCCAGAACGTTCACTCTCAGGAATATAGGGCTGAGCCCCCTTTGCTAGTGACTCTTGGACATAAGTATTAAGGAATGATAGGCCTTTATCAACCTGAAAGGAGAAGTTACTATGATTATGGAAGCTCTAACCAAAACCACAAAAAGGTAAATACAAAGGAAACCAAATGACAATTGAAGCAAGAGATATTAATCTGAAATGGCACATAATAAACTACAAACAGCTTTTAATTAGGAGCTATTAATGAGAACCTAAGTAATCAAACATAAATGCAATGAAACAGCACCTCAATATCTTCACAACTTGCATCTGATGGCATAATGCACTCAACAGCATGAGCATCCAGGCCAATGACTGCCTGCAGTTCATAAGCACGTTGCTGCAAATCTGTTGAGTGTGAAACCAATAATTCTTCTATTAAGGATTGACACTGCACCAATTGAAGAAAAAATCATCAATAAGCAAATTCTTCTGTGAACTGAAAACCACGTTAATAGATAGAGCAGGAATACACTGCCATCCATAAGAGCCAAATGAATACATTGAGGTAAGCTCTAGTAAAGATTCATCTATGGAAATAAATCAAACGCATATAAAATGGAGGGCACTACCATATCACAAATTAGTAACAAAGATCTGATAATTGAACAAAGACTTTTCAACAAGTATTAACTATAATTATATCCTTGAACCTAATAAATTTCAACAGACAATTCATATATGTTAATGACAGTTGAAAACATTAAAGATCCAGCAATATTTTAGTATTGTAGCACACTGTTCAATGTCAATCAGGTACATACAGCCAAACAGACATGGTGCCAAATCTCGGTTGAATCAACATGTTTTTTTGACCTAGATATCTTTACAAAGATGTAAATGCACAGACTACTTATGAACAGAAAATCCACATGCAATGAATATAAAGGAGGTAGTGCTTAAGGGTTCAACATCCTACCTCAGGAAGCATATCCACTCTTCTCCCGGCCACCATTTCAAATGCATAAACTTTCATGAGCGCTGTAACCGCATAAGCCTTAAGAAAACCGAAAGAAAAAACACACACACATATCATTCCAATTGCAGAAATTGAATAGAGTTATATCAAAATTATCAACATTTTAAGCAAAAAATCCAACTCCAACTGTTTTTGACATTCCAATGTTTTGTTTGGCTGTGGTGTAAGTAATCACTTATACATACAAAGATGAACAATCACAAACCAATTGTGGATACCTTCATTGTCTCATCATTTGAATATGCCTCTGCAATATCACATAATTTTCCAGTAATATAGGAAGCTGAGAACTTTCCATCTGCAGTCCCATATTCTCCCAAGACCCAACAAATGACCTGCAATCAGCTCATGATTAACATATATAATAATCTAAATGAAGTTTCAGTGGTTATCACCACCAGGAAAGAAAAGATAGAAGGTACTTAAATAACACCATATACCTGAAGAAAAACAGACGGCAGCTTTGGTTCACTAAGAATGTGCAAATATGATTCTACCTGCACCAAAAAAATAAAAAATTCAACTTATAAAACATAAAAGGTAAGAACAAAAACCGGAGTTAAACTAAAACTTAGAAGTCAATAATGGATTGATAAGTGTTAAAACACAGTCAAAGTCACCAAATAAATTCATAACTGTGATAATTACACCATGCAAGTTTCGCGATTAGATCAAGAAGAATGGATAAATATTGCACTTTTTCTCCACCTCTGACTTGGCAGTTTTAGGAAACAGAATTCTGGTATGAGACGGAAAAAGCATTTTCAATATTAAAGCCAGAATATGCAGTGTACATCCACAGATTTGTGTAACCTATACTTTGAGGTAGTTTCCTACCTTTAGATAGCCTCTTGTATAATTGTGTTTCCACCAAATACTATCCACTTGATGCACCCATGAGTCAAAAGAATAGACTTATGCTCCGTGTCTAGAATAATATTAGAACCTTTGGGGAGTCTTTTTTAGACAATAATATAATATCAAAATGTAAAACTAATTTATCCTCTCATGTAGGTTTGCAAATTTTACTGGCATGGCCAAATCCCATTAAAGTTTGCTCCCTCTCCCCTTTCCCCCAAAATAACCTTGTGAATGAGTCTGGCATGTTCTGTATTACATTACTTATGGTCTTTCTTTTAAGCAGTCTTCTTTAAACATCTATGGTTAACAAATTTTCTCCTAGTTTAACTAAAGCCAGATACATTCTTCATTTATAATTTTATTAGAATGCCTAATTGAATCCAAAATACTGATAAAATTGATTTATGATCCACGTACAAAAACTGACTGCAGATTAAAGTAGAAAATGCTTCTTGTTTTAAACTGTTGGAACAGAAATGGCATTCTTTAAGAGAAAGGAAAACAGTTAAATATTAAAATTCATTTTCATGTAGGTCTAATGTATAATGTATCATAGCCAGTAATATGCATGTTTACATGTGAATGTACAAACATTAATATAACTTACAGCAGATGATCTCAGTTGACTATCTGCAGTATCATCATCCTCCCCAAATCCCTCAGCAATCAACCGCATCAAATTGTGGGCCACCTTAATATTCACCCTATCTCCCGCATGCTCAAAGACTTTATTCATGGTCTGAGGAATAAATATATAGGACATAACCATCATTGAATGCTAAGATGAAGACTAATTTAGGCAGGGGAAGACAATATTTTGATTACCTGGATGAACCACTGATTACTTGGTGCAAATTGTTCTGCTAGTTCAACACATCGAGATGCTATTTCAGTTTTGAAATGATTATCATTGATGCTAATCATGTAATCAATCATGCGATCAACAATAACCTCTACATTGGATGACTTGGTCATTTTGTAGAGTAGTTCAAAAGTTTTTCTTTTTAAAGTGTCATCTGAATCCTGTAGTCATGGACTCATGTTAAATGACAAATTGACAACCATAGAACAAGTAATAATCATATGCAGTTAAATACATAAAAAGGTAATCAATTCAGGCTAACAAATTATATCAAATAAAATTGCCCTGAATTTATAAGGCATATAACTAACTAGAAGATTGAAACATAGACCAAAATATGTCCAAACTTAAAGGAAACAAAATTTGACCTCTAAGCAGTCAATCACAGCCAATTGGTGTTGCTCAGCAATCTCTGGATTTGTCTTTATCAACCGACCAAGAGCGTCAATCCCCATATATTTTAGGTTATGACTGTCACTCTGGCAATGAGAAAACAATGTACTAGCATGAGTCTCATTAAATATAATAGCCAAAACTGGTGATATTAATGCAAATCAGAGCATTCTAAACTTCCACAATGCATGCACAAGCTACAATAGACAAACCTTCAAAAATCTTGATATTACATCAGTTGCAGCCTCTAATAACTTTGGATTGGGATATATACAGGAGACACAACATATGCACTCATATAGCACTGCATTTCCTATATTACTCGAAGAATCACACTTCCTGAATAAGTCACCAACTACAGTATACATGCTTTCACTTGCATGCTTATCACCACTTCCCAGCAATGCCAAAATTTTCAGCAGCTTGACCTGCAAGATGCAATTATTATTGTCAAACAAGGAAAGAGATGCAATTATTATTGTCAAACAAGGAAAGATCCTTGTAGAGAAAAAGGCAATCATATATAATAGAAACATGAAACAATAGCAACATTTAAATATCCGATTCACATCTCTTCTCTTATAATTATTTCCTTTTCATTCAATTGTTAGGTACAATGGAAAATGGACTTCTTGCATCCCTCCTCCTCCTCCCTTCCCCAAAAACTCATCTGCCAAGATTCATCAACACTCCACCCTTTCCCAACATGGGGAAATAAGTCAATCAGCAAAATATGGTGTTAATGTCTAGTATTGAAGGTAGATGGAGGTTATCAAACACAATATTTTTTTCAGAATAGGAAAATAAAATAATGCATCCTTAATAAACAAGGTGCTTGGCCACAATAAGAATTTCCACCAGCCAAATGTAAGACATATAATATTACAGCTTGCTAAGAGTAACCTTAAGGGTAAGCATTTCCATGCATCTACCTAGGGCATTTTCATACTTTCAATAAAACCTTTCAGCCTACCATGAGCTCAAGAAAGAAAAGGCGATAAAATGCAATATACCTGAATGAAAGGGGCTGGCATCTGATGATAATCATAAGTCTTTGGCAATCTGCGCTCAGTCACTTGTTTGAGAATGCTTACAAAGCTGCTGACCAAATCTTTATAAGAATTAACATCTATTGTTATAAGATCAAAAAGGGGGCAAAGTGTTGCACCCATAACTCCAGGATCATTATCACATAGCTTCTGCAACAGGGAAAGACACCTTATAAGAAATTGAAAGGCACTTGGTCCTTGAAATTAAATACATTGGGAAAATATTAAAGATAATAGGATTAATTTTGTTAATTAATAGCAAAAAAACTCACCACCCTAATGCAGATATTTTTAAATGAAAACCTTGATGATATTAATAAAAATTATCATTCATCAGTAACTTTCACTCTTAAATAAGCATACACAAAGACCTAACAAACTTGTCTTTATTTCTCTCTTTACTGGTATAAAGTATGGATGCAAGTAATAATATTTGTCGAGTAGCAACTCTGTCATGTTCTATGGTCCAAATTATGAGCCTGTACAGCAGTTTAAGGTTGTGAGCTTAACAGCTTATCATTTTAGACAAAATACTTAGTAAGACTAAAATAGCAAGACATTCCGGCCTATAGCTCTTCTTCAATTTTAAATACAGTAGCTAGAAAATTTTTAGTGTACTGGGAAGGCCATGTTCATAAATATCAATCTATTTTGCACAAAGTCTCCGACACCCACCTTGCGAAAATTCGAGACCAGATGTGAAACCGACGATGGAGACCTTTGATAAAACCGGTGAAGCGCCATAACAGCCTTCTTCCTGACGGCCTCCTTGGAATGCCCCAGCAACTCCACCACCTGTGGCAGCACTGCTGGAATAGTCTCCTCGTTAATCAGTCTACACACCGCATTCAAGGCAGCGCAGACAACTAAATAATTATCCGACTTCAAATCCTTCTGAATTGTATTCACAATCAAGATGATCAAATCATGGTCCTCATTCAAGAAAAGCGTAACAGCCAAATACCCAGTTCGCTTGACCAGCAAATTATCATCGTGAGTCATCTTAACGGCATGAATGTAGCCAAAGGAGGCGTCGTGGCCGAGCATCTCAACGTAGACTAATCTGATTATGTACTCCTTCATCTTGCGCTTGGGGATGTCGGGCTCGGAGATACGGCGCTTAAGAGTCTCGATCTCGTTCAGAACTATGCGATCCTCCTCCGCCTTGGATCGACACTCGCCGATGGACTTTACGAGATCGAGAAACTCCTTGGATTGGTAGAAACCGCCATGGGAGCCCATGGCGAGCTCCCTCCCTATTGTCTTCAATTGCTCCAGCTTTGCTTTCCTAAGTTTGCCTCTGAGATTATTAGATCTCGAAATTTTGGCTCTGTACTTTGGTTCGTCTCTGTATACAGACTTCAGGCGCAGGGGAAAGAGGCAGACGAAGCAAGAAAACAAGGAACACACGAGCCAAATTGGCAAACGTGTGTCGACTGTACTTACAGATTTGTTAAAAGAATAAAATGGTCCCTAAATTTTAAATTATAACATAAAGGTCCCTAATGGCATGATCATATACTAAAACGGCTTCGTTTGGATATTTAGGTTTAAGGCAAAACTCTCGTATCCACCCTTAAAAAAATATATGGGGACATATCCACTCCTAAAAAAAAAAGTAGGGATAAATTATCCCTCTAAATCATAAATCAATACAAATCACTCATTTTTTAACTTTTTTTTGTTAAAAAATACTGACGTAGCAACCAGAATTCTGACGTTTTTCGTTAAAAAAAAATAATTTGTA